AGTATTAAACATAATTTCATTGGGTTTTTTTTGGTTTGGTTTTTTGGTTTTTTTTTTTTTTTTTTTCCCGTCATGTCTGTCACCCTGCCCGCCCCTTCAGAGCATCAAAAAAATTTTGGTGACATTTTCTGTTCTGGTTCTAGCCTCTCCCTAACCCCAGTGCTACTGTTGCCATTATTTTTCTGTGGGAAAACTACTGGTATTTGCTTTCCTGTATAGAATGTTGCCTAAAGATGTCAGCCATTTGGTTGGGGGGTTTTGTGCATGTTTGTTTTTTGTTTTTTGTTTTGTTTTTTTTTTACCAGTGTGCCATCAAAGCACTGGTTAGGCTTTAATTGTGAAACTCCGCAACAAAAGCAAATGTTTGACAACTGCAGGAGGCTTTTATCTGCATTGTTGTGCATCTGTTAATTCTTGATCAGGGTTTGAAGAAAGACTGAAGTGCGTTCTGGAATCAGGCTTAACGCTGTTGATTTGGAGTTTCCTAGGGGTGAATTAATGTATTTCGCAGTTAATTGTTGAGCTCTAATACAACTGGCAACTTAAAATGGGGCAACAGTTTGTTTTGCAACAATGTCAGTTGTTTAAACCTTGATGTTTCAAATAAAACAAGAATTGTACATAGAACTCAATGCAAACTCAGCAGTTGTATTTGGAGTTAAATTATTTTAACAAATAAATTTATTTAATGAAATCTGCTTTGCATTTCCTGTATTGTCCATTTTGATTTGATCAAAAAGTTCATCCCAAGCTGATGAGAGCTACCCAGTAATTTCAAACAACGGTGGCAACTGCTTGCAGTTCAGCTAAGTATTCATTGCCAAAATGCTCTTCTGGTACAAACTGAATAGCCATAAGTAAAAAGCAAATATGCTTTAATTTTTATGGATGTATGCATGTTGTGATTTGAGTTATAAGCTTCATAAAGAACCATAGCAAAGGGTTGGTTTGTTTACTTTTCTTAGAGAGATATGCATTGACAACAATCAGCAAGACTCAGTATGTGATAAGATATGGCTTTTGCTATGGCAAGAGAATAGTGCTTATTGTAAAATATAATAAAATTATGTATGAACTTGGTCCATATGTGATATAGTTAACACGCAGAACTACTTTTATAACA